TCTTTCCCTGGAGATGCTGTGCTGCTGGGAAGAGCAGGCTGGAGGTTTTCAGGGAGCTGACCAGGTGCAATAAGCCAGCTTTATTTTGGCTAGATAAAATAAACATTCTTTCCCTGCCTTTCTGCCTGTAATGGGGGATAACTTCTTTTCTCTTGCTGTTTGTTGATATGCAAAAAAATGACAAGTGACTCTTCAGTGTGTTGGTACCTGGCGTGGACCCTGCACCAGTAACTCACTAGTCAATTGTTATCAAAGCTGAAGAGCTCTCAAGTGCATCCCTGCCAACAATAAAGTGCTCAGTCACTTTACTCTTCTGAAGCCTCTCAACTCTCTCTAGTAATCCAGTCCATCCACCTCAGCCTCGGCTGAAGCCTGCCTGCCCCACCTGGGGACGCTGGGCGCTGCGGTGGGTGCTGGGCTCTTGTCGTCACTGGCTTCTTGGAAACCAAAGCCGAGACTCGTCACTCCAGCAAACCCAGAACAGGCTCTTGGCCTCAGGAGTGTCTCCCCCTTGTGAATGAAAGAACTTTGATGGAGATTCCCAGCAGCGCTGACATGGGCAGGGTTTAGTTTTCATTCGGGAAGCACAGAGCCCTTCCTGGTTCAGCAATAGCTTTACTGGCAGACAACAAAGTCTACTACGACCCCGCTTCTTCCTACACTCCCCTCCTCTGGTTTGCTGGGCTCTGATGGAGCTTCCCAGTGCTGCAGGGACCCGGGCCTCTCCCGTCTCTCAGCGCCTTAGATGAGGAGGAGACTCTGTGAAACACAGGCTGAGTCTCACTGGAGTGTTTCTGCTTTCCTTAGTCCTTGCCTCACTAAATGCCTGCCCCACACCCCATCGCCTCCCGTTGCCAGCAGGGTCGCGTTGGGGGTTGGGGGCAGTGCTGCCCGAGGTCCCCGGTGTGGGAATGCAGGATTTCAGCGCCAGCGTGGCTGCTGCCAGCAGCAGTGAACACAGGCACAGCCATGCCCCCTGGACCAGCCCCCCATCCTACAGCAGCTGATCTGTATTTATACACACGACACTGCTGTCCTCTCCCTCAGCTCCGCAGCTCCCTTCACAGCACCAGACTGCAAGACAAGCACCCACCCTGCCCCGGCAGGACTGGGAACGTGCCTGCCATGGTACCAGATCCCAGCAGACACCTCACTGGGAGAGCAGCCTGCTGGTGTGTCCCACTCTGCCATAAAGGAATGCAGGAGACAGAACCCCAGGACTGCTTCCCCAGTTGGTGACCCAGAGTGACGATTTCAGCTCTGCTGCTTGGGCATGTCTGGAAGGGCTTTAATGACAGTCGGTATTAGCACTGCAGCTGTCACCAACCAGAAGAGGAATGGCTGTGTACCGGGAGTTGTCTTAGTCCCCACTTGGAAGTGGGGGCTGTTGTTTATGTGTTTTCCTCAATGTCACAATTTTGCTGTAAATAGCACCAGTGGAACATAATATAAACAAAGGGTTTTAGAAGGAAAACGATCATTGTGTCTGTTACATGAAGAAACAGGAGAAGAATAAAAGAAGAAAAAAATCACTTAAGTTAGAAGCCCTATTTAAGTATGGCAAAACTAACATGGCCTACTTAATAAACTATTAAGTCAAAATGCGATCAGATCAGCATTTAAAAAGTCTTTTATAAATATGCTGTCATTCAACAGTACCACTTACCAGACTCGTTGGATTAAAGGTGGCCCTGTGCTGTAAAGCAAGCTGAATTACGTAGACAAGTACGTGATCACAGTTGCCCCTTTTAGCTTTCAGATGTCTCTTATTTATGTAAATCCAGAAAGACTACTTCTATGTGTGACATCCTACAACAGCGTGTAAGAGAAATGCAACAAATGTACAAATGCACCCATCCACTTGCTCTGTGCATTGTGAGCACAGCATTCCCTAAAGGACAGCAGCAGTTCAAAGGCTTAGCCAGGAAAGCACCTGAAGGCATCTCGGTTGTTCACCAGTGCCCCAGTTTCCATTCTCCAAGTTGCACTCTTGGTGTCTGCAGCACCTGGAGTATATTCTTTTCATTTCTAAAGGTTACCAGTACAGCAATGTGCCCGAGTCTGTGCGTCAGAGCTGTCATTTCAAGCCATCTGCAACATGCTGCTGCTGCTGCTTATTTAAATGTTAACTTGTTCACTCCTCAAAACATGCAAGAATGGAGAGAGAGATCAGGAAACAACTATGTAGAGCTTTCTAAGGCCTTCCTTGTCCGCTTCCTCTCACAAGGCATGCAAGAGCACCTGATGAAAATTTAGTGGGGAAGAGGTCGATTAATTTCAGTTGCAGGTCCTGAACTTACCCTCCTTGTAAGTGACCAAATTGCTTTAGCTACTTTTTTTAATTTTTTTTTTTTTTCTCTTCAGTGGCGCCCTGGAAGCTTATGTTCAATCAGTAAGAACAAGAGAGGGAAAGGAGTTTGCGCCAGTCTATCCCATAATGGTTCAGCTGCTGCAGAAAGCGATGTCAACCCTCCCGTGAATGTATTTGGACAACTCTCTCAAAACAGGGAATGGACAGTAACCCAGTCACAGGTCTTTGGTGCCCCACACTTATATAAATTAGTTCCAAATACACAAGCTTTATAGTGAAATGTGTTTACCTACTTCATCTATGAAACTTGTCTTCTTGCTTTATGTTTGCATTATAGGAACTTATTTATACACAGGTATTATAAGGAAATAGTACAATTTTGATGTGCTGTAAATCTACATCTAATAAAAATGAATCCTTCTTTTGCATTCCTTTTGAATTTAGAGAAGTATAAAATTAGAACATACTCAAATATTACAGTATAATTGCTGAACATCTCAACGAAGGAAGTAGCTCTTTTCCTACAAGTATAGTTTTAAACAGCTGAATACATTTTAGCCTTATTCAGAAAATCGTACTTTTGAAATGCTAGCATCATCAGTTTCCATTTAAAAATTGCTAATTTTAACACAAGGAAAAATATTTATAAATTACATAAATGATTCTCTATTGCACTGCTGTTCACTTTGAAATAATTTATAGTGATACCAACTTTTTGCTTAAACTGTAATAAAGAACATTGACTATCCAATCCTGAATTCAGTATGTGGAATTCTTCAGCAACTTCCTAACTGCAAAACATCAGAATATTTTTTGAATGGGTTTATATGTAAAGACTTTCATGCAGAACATGGTCATCTCTGCAGGGCTGACTTAATGATGTCTTCTTCATTTTATAAAATACGCAACACCGAATTTTAATGAATTTATTTGAAATAATATATAAGAATATAGTGTGCAAAAATCTTAGGGGCAACATCATGTAGACATGTGTAATAAACTGAAATTTACAGTTGTGATTCTTAAAAAAAAAAAAAAAGGAACACACAGCTGTTTAGTACATGAAAAGCCACTGTAAAAGTTCACAGCAGAAGCAATTGGTAATCCTAATGCAGCTGCTCTAATTTCAGACAGTTGGAGGAAAAAAAAAAGTAAAGTGCAAGTGTTGCACGTATAGTTAAGTGCAAAGTTTGCCCCCACCATAAAGATGTCTTATGGCAAATAAAATATTGTAGAATATGTGGCAAAGACAAAACAGTTAAAACTATGATGGTGACGATATCAACAGCACCATTTTTCTTGAGATAACGCTATTTATTTGTTTCATCCTGTCCTGGGCCATTGTTTCCACTGGACATAACAGCTCTCACTAGTGCCAGCTGGTGCAAAAATCTCTCACTTGTGGATATAAATTTTATACATGGCAACCCAAGCAGCAGCTTCCGTGCTACATGACACTACCCTCTCCACTTACCACATGTTCCGGTAACTTGTTGACATCTGGGCAGGCTGGGAAGCTACAGGCTGATAATACATTTTGCCATTTCAGAAAATCCCAGGCCCCAGAATCGTAATTAATAATATGGTTGTGCAATACATATTAATCAGCAATAAGAATCAATGTATATAAACAGCTGTTACATATTTTAAAATTCCCCTTTTTTGTACATTTTCTTTTAAAAATAAACATTTATACACGTCTCCTTCGCCGCTCTCTGAAGTACTTTAGCACCACAGGATATCCATTTTCAAGCCTATATTACCTGATACATATATGAAGTCTGGAAGAAAAATAAGGCAATTTGGTTTAAAATGTTGATAGTTTTAGCTTACTTAATGTTCTATTGTAAAAAGCAAATCTGCACTCATATTAGATCATTTCCGACTTGATGGTGCCAGTATTTTATGGTCACACAAAGTCACAACAAACAGTAAGACCTTGATCTTGCATCTTCTTGCCATCAAGCAACAGCCATTTTGTAAATACAGAGTTAACAGGAAAGTTCTGGCTTAATGCTGTTGTGAGCCCTGAGAAAAGAGAAGAGAAAACCAGGTTAGTGGTTACCAAGCAAAGGGGAACTAGACATTACCTTAACTCTAGCAAACATTTATTCTGAAAGCCACAAGCGCTTGTAATCATCGGTTAGTTATTCAGAAGAAAACTGAAGTCCAAAACGGGTTATTTCATCCCCTGATCATCAAAAGACCATCAAGGCTTTGTCACAGCCTGGACTCCACCATCATTACTTGAAAAGGTAACCAAGCTGTGAACAAAATTCTTAGTTCACTAAATAACGCATTTTTTAAAAAAATATATTTCCTGCTGTAACACCAAGGTAACAGGTTCTCCTGTTACTGTCATCTTGGCCTGAAGACCCTAAGGACAAGGAAAATCCTACTCCAAGGCAGGGTAAGAAAGCCATTTTTCTTACTAAGACCAACCCATCCCTACTCCTCTAGTTACAGACAAACACCCCCACCGAGTTCCTTGAAGCCTGCAGGTGCATGTGTGAAGTGAACTTGATCTCACCATCAAATGCCCAAGACTGCAGCAGTATAAAAACAGAATAAATAAATAGTATTATTTTAACTAAACCCACAAGGAAATCTAACAGAATCTGTCACTGTTGATTAAAATAGAATACAGTGAACAGAAAAACAGCTTGTTCCTAGCAGCTGGGATTTGGCAAAACCTTCTGCAACAAGGGACTGAAAACTCAGCACCAAGTACGTACAGCGATAAGAAGCAACTTAGTGTTGGAGCATTTCTTATTCAGTCTTAAGGCAAGACTTGCATATGCTCTTGAGAAAGTAGCCTCATTTACACATGAAAGGAAAGGAGGTAATTTGAGGATGAAATCTTAAATCTCTGAAGTCCACAACACACTTAATGCTCCTACCCAGGCATAAAATGGCTGATGAAAGCACCTGGCATTCTGTACACCCCAGTGGATCTTTCCTTCCAGCCTGCTCTTCCGTTTCAACGTGCAGGTGGGCAGGATCTTTTTTTTGATGTTCTCTTTATATGATGTATTAGCTTGAACACCCTTGTCTTACCCAATACATGCACCACCTGCTAATACATTGCTGCAAACTCTTAAATTGACGCCCTTCTACAAAGTGGAAATTTTTCTACAGAGGACGTGTTATCTATTGTATTTATTTTACAATTAAAACACAGTAATAAGTGTAAGGGATTAATGAAAAAAAGAAAAAATACAGCTCCCTCAATAGCTTCACATATGATTATATAAATTAAGAATCAAGGTAGAAAATGGTAAAGAAAAAGGAGACTATGAATCACAACAGAAGAGGATTTTGTGAAAGTTTGTTTCTGAGGGGAATGGACAGATTTCATGTAGGTACAACCCTACAAACTCAGTTACTTCAAACAGAAGGTCACGTGCTCTTCCTCTGCATTTCACAAGCACACTCACTTTCAGCCCAACAGAATTCACAGAACTCTCATAAAATATTCAGAGACAGACCTCCTGATCTGTCTCCTGCCAACTGTCCAAAAGCAGGTTACACAACACCGAGGAGTAAAATGAAGGTTTGGGCTACCAAGAAAGATGTAGACAGCAGAGTATATCCTGAACAAAAACCACTGTAGCTACCGCATGAACACGTTTAACTGCATAATGGAAAAGTCTGCTCACAAACATACAGAATTTGTTCGTTTTCGTTTCCAACAGTCAGGATTCAAACGTTTCTGTTCTTCCGCCAAGGCCTTGGCTTCTAGTGTGTACATCCGCCTTTCTTCATTTTTCATTTTCTTCCACCTGTCGCCGAGTATCACGCTTATGGCTCTGCAAGATAAATGTTTACAGTATGGTCAGAACAGGGTGTTAACAATGCCCTTATTTTTCTTTTATCTCAACAACTTAAAAAAGACAAATGTGGAAAAAAAAAAACCCCACACAGAAGGAGTCAACTGTATCTTTAAATTATTTTTTTCAAACAATAATGTTTCTGATTATCTTCTCATACTTTTAACAGTTGAACAGCTCAGACTTCTGTGTTAGCTGAGCATGGGTCAGTGCACATTCTAACATTTGCAAGGGTGTACATTTGAATACACAGCAACTTGCATAGACTAGCAAAAAATCATAAAAAAACCCACCACCAAATGGTAAATCACATTTGGTCTGCTCTACTTTCATACAAGAAGATCGTATGACAGATTGGCTAAAAATCTGTTATCTAGTAATTAGGGCAATGATCTGAATATGACCTCAGCCAAACAAATATTTTATTAACTGCAAACCCCCGTGTCTATTTAACAGATGTGTGTAGCTTCCTCCACCTTTAATCCATACTGAGGAGAACATGAGTGGGTGGAACATACTGGTAAGTTCCCATTCCTGTGCAAAAGGAACCGTTTGTTCTAACACACCTATCATTATTTCCAGGAACTGAATGAATTGCTTTTCACATTCCTGATAAACTCACATGTCTTTTGGACAACATTTCCCCATGTTACCATGCCATATTGCTTAACTGCACTCCCAAGTGTTGGATCAATATTCCATTAAAGCTTTAACTCCATCCTTTCACTGAATGAAAATCTCTAACAACAGCTCTTTTATCAATGGCAATTACTACACCACTGAGCAGGTTTGCTTTAGTTTTGGATGTGATAAAAGTTCTGTGACCAGCCTTCAGGACAAGGCGTATACAGCCAAGTACTCTGCTTTAGCATATTACAATGCTCCTTGCTGGCTGCAAAGCTACTCACAGGCTTTCTAACAGAATCAAGAAGAGCAGTGTCCTCAACCATTTCCACAGCATTTCACATGCAGCAGTTCTGAAGGCTTTTCTGTACCATACCAACAAGAAAATGGATTTTAATCCTGCAAGACCATTCAGGCTTCCAGAAGCTGCAGAGAATGCCACTGGGGCTGCGGCTGAGCCTGGGCTGTCACATGCTCAGGTGACCCCTCAGAGCAAACTCCTCAAGTTGCAACCAGACCCCATCAACATCAAATGCATTTACACAGCCTGTCTCTTTGGCAATGGAATTTCTGTCTTTCTGTACAAATTAAGAACGAGTGTCTTTGGTCTGTCATCAGAAGTAAACACACTCCTGTTTAATTAGCAGATTTTTTCATGTTTTGGCAGTATCCAGAGGCAAATCAACAGCACCACAAACCTGTCTCATTTTGGCTACCAGTCTGTACCACCATAGCCCCAGTAAAGAACATGGGGACCCAGACAGAGCAGGTTAGCTGGAAGAACCATTGCATTTCCAAATCAAGTTGCACTATGAAATTTTTGTATTTCAAATGCAATAATATTTATGTATTTTATACCTCCAGAGTTAAAACAGCACCGAGGCATGGAAAGTGACTGCAGATCTGTACATTTTAAAAAGCTTGAAAAAAATCTAATGCAGGGGCAAAAGCTCCACTTCTCCAAGGAAGTATTTCTACAAGTGAACCACTGAGACTGCAAGAAGATGTGTACAGAGAAATTTTCTGACATGACAGACCTAATTCTCCTGACCAGAAACAAGCAAGAAAAAACTGACCTTACTGCACCACTGCCCTAGGCACCCTTCACCTCATCAGAACGTCGCAGTGCTCTGCACACTCCCTCTGTCCTTTTAAAATTTTGGTAAGATACCTGACAATACTTCAGCAATAGAGTAAAGCGCAGGATGCAATCCCTTGTACTGCAGTTAATTCAAAATAAGCTGTCAAACAGTAGTTGAGAATGCCTCAAATTCACTCAGTAATTATGTTCAGCATGAACAAATGCTGTTAATATTTTAGGTGATTTTCTTCATCTTTAGAACGTACACTATTCAAATTATTAAAGTATTCTGAACGCACAATCAAGTCCAAGTACGGTTACAGTGAGAAGATGTAGAAAAGGCACAAGTGGTACCCAAACATCAGTTTCTCAAGTACGGTCTTATGATCCACGGTATTTTTAAGTATCATGGGAATGCTGACTTGTGTTGTGAGTGTTTACAGTTCACTATCTTGCTAACATGGCTTGAGCTCCTTTATCTCAGACCAGACCGTTTAACTCAGAATACCTCAGGTTCTGTCCCTTCTTACATGCATAAGAAAAATGACTGTAGCAAACATAAGAAATCCAGTATACGGAAACAGGTACTACATGTAACCCACAGTAAGATCTACTTGGTAACCTGAAAATGATACATATTTAAAAAACATGAAAGTTGCCTCTGAACAGCTGAATAAATGCCCCTGCACTTAAGCAACAGTAGGTGAATGCCTATAAGATAAATTATCACTACCTCTTATGATTTCTTCTGTATATAAATAAATATAAATTTTATAGATGCCAAGAAACTGCATCCAAATGCACTGCTTTCCATATGGGACAGGGAACAGTGCACTCTGAACCTTACTTGTAACTTACCCTGTCGCCACTTTCCTCCAAGGTAAACCTGCTCACTGAAACATTCAACTTATTTTCACATCCATCCAGCTGCAGCTCCAGCACTTTAAATTAACTATATAGCCATCATAAACTTTCCTAACTGACATTCTGCTCCATTTCTCATTGTTGGTTGCAATGAGTTTGAAGGCAGCAGATCTGCTTCACTGAAATGACTATGAACATTGCAGAACATCACTGCCAGGACACAAAAGACTGGCTGGGGATTTAAGGATGCATTATTTGTCTGGTAGGATTTTATTTCTCAACAAGAGTTACAGCCTCCTTACTAGAACATTATGAAATAGCTAAACCCCTGTCACCATTGGTTTTTACCAGATTTAGCACGAGGATTTTTATGGGACAATGCCATTTTTACAGTAACAGTTTTCATAATGTTATATACATAAAAAAATATGATTATAAGATCATTGCATGTTCATGCTTTTTAGTTTATATTTACATATGCACAATTAGCACAAAATATTATTTAAAACAAATATAATGGACATCTTTATAAAAAACGTTTAGACATGAACGTGCATATAGATAAAAGCAAAAGAACAAACCAACAAAGAACCCTCCCCCAAACACAGAGAGAGTCATGAGACTCTTCTGCAAGTTTCAGCAGATTGTTCAATGCCTTCAGGACAAGCAAAATTTGGCAATGTACTGTTTGGATTAAGATCTTTCACATATCCTAACAATTAGTACGGTCATATTCAATATGATATACAGACTAAGAATAAATGTTAGTAACTTCACTGAACAATTTACAATATTATGGCAAGACTTAATTAGAAGAACCAGAAATCTAGTTTTTCCGTTACAAAATATGAGCAGAAAGCCTGGTACTCTTTTCCCCATGAACATTTCCCATTGGTGTAAACAAAAACTGTTGCGTATTTGTGACTCTGTTGGTGCAGGTATGGACATATGTCAGTTGCTTCACCCAAATGCTTTCTCAGAAGGTAAGTTTTACAAAAACAGCTTGTGTTAAATTTACTGAGTACTGTAAATATTTAAAGTCTGCCCATAAATTAAGCTTTGTGTCAGCATCTTTCAAAACTTGTTCTTAAAACAATACACACACATTTCATTTCAAATGCAAAATTTAGTCCACTTAAATTTCAAGGTGGGACACATATTCTGCTAGCTCACCAGTAACAATAAAACTATAATTTTACACCATTACCTGTTGTCTTTCCCTGGATACATCTGAGTATATTCAACTCTGTATTTTTTGGCAAAAAGCATGAAGGCATTCATTGGTCTTTTGCACTTGTTTGGAGAAGTGGCACTCACAGTACTTGCAGTCCCTGAGCTCTGGCTTTTGCCAGCTTTGCTGTACAAAGAATTGGAGGAAAGATCTGTTGATGCAGTAGATGCACAGTTTTTACTACTGCATTCTGATCTCTCGGCATCTTGATTGTTTGATCTTCCACAAGACAGAGAAGCGCGACGCTGGCGAGCCATGCTGCTTAGCACATAAACTGCAGAGGAATCCATTGGTGTAAAATCGTAACTAGAAGAAAAAGACATCATAAAACGATCAAGTAATTATCATGTAAAATCCCTGAATAGCCATTCACTCTTCATCTATACTACATTTCTAGTATTCTGGTCTCTTTGTGTGACATAATGATTTGTGCTTGATGCAGATGTCAGTGGGGAAAAAAAAGCCCAAAACTCTGGCAGATGAATTAATAATTTTTTCAATGTGATGGCAGACTGCAACTTTTGCAAGATGTCCTGTGTACTATCAACTCCCCAGCTGTATATCAATTAATTATACACTATCTTCAAATTTCATCCTCTTTTGAAATAAGCTTCTTTCTTTCTGCTTCTGTCCTTACCATAAATCAAATCTGGTCAGTGAATGATAGGTACTGATACGGGAAGAATAAGCGTTGAGTTCACTTGCAAATTATATCAATTACAAATATGAAACCACTACCTTAAAATAAATTATATTATATACACTCTTGTATAAATAACTTCTGGCAGTTAAACAGATATTATTTTACTGAAAAACCTTCCACTGCGATTAAAAAAAACTGTTTGAAGACCCATTATGTTGCATACTATTTGATTCAAAACTGACATACGTCTGCCCTCTAGTGACAAAAATGTGAGATTCCTCGGGATTTTAAGGTATTTCAACAGCTCAGAGGAGTTGTTTCCATGGAATTTAGACCTCCAAATACTATAACCTGTTGTACTTTTTTGTTGACCAACAACTACAATTAACCTCTAAGCACTACAGAAGTTTAATTCCACAGGCTATCTGTTATCATCTCCAGGTTCAGTCTGGGAAGCACAGACTATACTGTCTTAAACATGTTATATGGGGAAAACACACTTGCAAAGGTGCTCATCGATCATAAATCTAAAACACTAAGTTACCATCACAAAATAAACAGAAAATGTATATAACTCTAAGGCTCTGCTCAATGTGGCTACAGTTGCATAATTTATGGCAAACATAAGGGCTCTGAAGAGCTTTTTTTTCTGAATACAAAGTAGAACTAATAGTAAGGAAATGCTGCAAACCGTAGTCCAGCCCCCATCTGCAAAAGCAGCACCTTTCTGTGGGTCGGAACCAAAAACAAGGGTGGAGCCTGAAGAGCTGCCTCTGAAATTCCTTAGAAAAGTACAAAGCAGCAAAGAAGAGATAATTCCAACAACCTTGCAGTCAAGTTCACTAGATAACGAGAAAGGACCTCTCTGTTCTACACAAACAGTCCATCACCCTTCCTATTCCTAATCTCCTTCCCATAACACAGCAACAGGATTTTGTTTTCTAACACTTCTGTGCTGCTGCACACTCCTTTCTCAGTGACTTACTCCCTTCTGCCCAGAAAGAGGGACAAGGAATTGGAAGTGACCAGGCAGTATTCAGCTGGACTGCAGGATGAATAAGGAGCCCCAAGTCCAATTTCTTCAGTGAGATGAATGATGCCAACAACTCACTACATATGCAGTTCAGAATAGGAGTTAATAGGAAGAAAAATCCCAGACAGCAAATGAGTGAAGACAAGCAATTTGAACTCATTATGCCAGACTGAAATAATACAACAGCTCCTAGGGCTTGAACTGCAAACAGCATTTTAAGTTAATTTTTTTAATTGTAAAACAAGAAGAAGCAACTAGACTAAAAACAGATGCTAGAAAGGAGCTAGCATCATAGGAGAAAATAGATTGTACTAAACCTAGAAATCTCAAAACAGGATGGAAAAATCTATATGAGTAATACTATTTCCTTAGAATAATTTCTGTTGGACAGGACCCTCGGGTTGAACCTCTTGCTCAAAGCAAGGCAAACCTCAAAGTTAAACTCTGAGGTTAGGTAAGTTTGATACATTAGAAAAGAATCTCAAAAAGCAGAATACACAAAAATAACAGCTAGTTACAAAAGTACTGTATTCTAAAGCCATAGCACATGCATTAACTACTAAGAAACTAGTCAGATAATTCAGACACATAGCTGCATACGTAGCACAAGTGAATACCTGGCAGACATACTATTGTGGGAAAACTGTACTAGGTTCTCCAAACATAACCCACTTTACCTGAAGAATTTATACAGAAAATGTGTATTTTTACTGCTTTATCTAATCTGGCTTGAACTACGATAAACGGGGGCTGAAATGTTATTGCACTCTAAGATATTACTTTGCAGTTTAGCAGTGCATGTAATTACACAGCTTTCCTAGCATTCAATCTTCATTTTCCCATCTCATTTATCTTGTATTACTCAAAGTATTCTCTCTTTGCTCTACATAATGCTTCAAATTCTTGTAGACTTAAGGTGCCTACTCATTAAATACAAAAACCACTGAGGCCACTTTATCCAAAAATTACCTTTTAAATGTATCAAAAACACCTGAATCATCAAAGTTAATGGCATCAGGGTGTCCAGGAGGTAGACACAGATCTCCAAGATGCATTTCACAGCATGGAATGCCATGCTGTACCACAGTCAAGCTTGGATAAAAAGATGACCAACCTGAAGTGGTAAAGAGTCAAATTAGACAAACGGCCAGACAATCTCTAGTTCTTAACTAGAGCAATCCTATATCCCTAAATGATACCATTTTATAACAATGTCTGATGTAGTTTCTTTCACCCCAAAGAAAAATCAGATACACTTAATCAGGGAATTTTTACTGCAAATGTTTTTTTTTTTAATCCCCAGTAAAATCTCATTCTCGCAAAAAAAAGTAATCAAAACCTAGAAACTTTTGTCATCAGAAGTTCCATATTTAGCAAGTGAGAAAAGCCTCCCTTATTTGCAGCTTCCCTTTCTCCCCCCAATTTTTCTGTTTTCCTGAGCTCCATTTATATACTTAATCAAATCTTCCCTTAAGAGATAGGCAGTACTTCTGTATCTTTATAGCTTCACAATGTTGTTTGTTCAATTGTGGATGTCTTTACAAAGATAGTGAATTGAGTCTACAACTCTGCTTTTAGCAATTTGTTCAGCAACGTGAGATTCAAATAAAATCTGCGACCACTTTCTAAGAATATTTCAATATACAACCAGGCATACTTGCAGTATTTCATACCTTTATTTTTAACATAAAAAGGATGATCGAGTCTGCATTCTACTGAAAGCAAGCCATCTTCTACTGTGCCAGGATCAAAAGTCAGCTTCAGCACTGACTCACCAAAGGAAATGCTTTCTTCATGAGAAATCAGCTTCAAACCATCAGAACCATAGCCCTGTAAACATACATACAGTTCAAAATTTTTCTCCCAAGAAAAGCATATACCTATGTATACTATAGGTGTATATTCATTGTCTTTTGTTATATGAAAAAACACCAACATTCTGAGTGCTATTGCTAAAAATTAATAAAGACAACAGAACACTCAAAACATACCTAAATGAATTCAGTTTAATTGCTTTATAGCAAGATACTCAAATACTACAGTGATCAGCTCTAAACAGGTTTAGTATTAACCTGTTTTCCTCACACAGTAATTAAAGGCACAGGATAACATAAGAAACTAAATACTTGCTACAGGTATTGAAGTGAATTTATTAGAACTAACATCTACCTTGTAAGGACTCACTGGGAGATTTTCCTCTTTTCCACAGCTTTCAGATCTTGCAAAATCTTCAACATCCCGCCATTCTTTATTGCGTCCTTTATGAAAGCACAAACGAGAGCCTAATAGATTTTTTCAAGAAAAAAAAAGAAAAAAGACTGGTGTTAGATAAAAAAGTCTGTGTTACAACAACAACAAAGAAAAGACAAGACAAAACAAATACTTATTTGATGATACATGCTATTTTACCTTTTAGAAAACAATGCCAGACAGTTGAGGGCCAGGAATGGCACCATCCTAAATCATCATCATCTGAAAGTGATGACATGCAGAAAATGCCAGATTCTGATTCACTATTTGCCTATTAAATAAAAAAGCAAGATAGTGTTAATATTTTGCTGTGGAAGATTTTAGGGCTGGTCTTGTATGACTTTAGATACATTCTCTAATTTGCATCTGTGCCATCATTTTGCGTTAAATACCAACAGGAATGTAACGTGAAGACAAAGATTCAAGGAATACAGTAAATGCGAATGGAGTATTTTCACGTCCTTTTTTCTTGAAATGTGCCATCCTGAGATTTTTGGGTTTCATTCTCTGTGATTCATTTGTGCACACCAGATAATCTTGTGCTTAGGTACAAGCATTTTACAAGCTGTTGTTCCTTGGTCATCCACAGAACCACTCAAAGCACGTGTTACTCTATGGTAAAATTACTGGAAATCTGTAGGGCCAAGTCGGTTCTAGATAAGCCACTGGGAAAAACTCAGTATCTTTAACAGACAAGTTTCAGACATAAATTAATACACAAGAAAGAGAGAAGCACGGCTGACAGGTTTTGTGCATCTAAAAGGAGATGGTTCTGTATTTCCTTTTCAAGACAGCAAACAAGTTAATATTATTTTTTCAAACTTTGTTATAGAAGGAACCAGAAGAGAAGCAGAACTTTCTTAGAGTGCAATCTCTTCACAAAAATGTGGACTCTAGGATGTAGCACTACTAGCTTCCTGTTTGGTAAAAAGAAAAGTTAACACAAAACCTAGCTTAAATATAAATGGTATGAGAACTAAACAGATGATTTTCAAACTAGTTTCTCTTTTCAAAAAGCTTAAGCCATTAGTCATGCATCTTTATTTGTTTCAGAAATGTTTCAGAACAACTCACCCTTTCATGTCTGACTGGTGTTTCATCCAAATCATTCTTGGAGAAGTTAGGATCATTCTTTGAGGATCCTGGTGGAGGACGTGCATAGGAATGTAAACTTTTGCTTGTAGCTATTATGTGAACAGGAGATGATCTACAATAGAAAAATGTATTTTAAAATACCTCAGATTAAGACAACAAAAGACTTAGCTGCTATTGCACTAATATGCTTTTATTTAACAAATAGTTCTGTTTGCATGAGCTGAATACCAAATGAACTTCCCACACACCGATATTGAAACGGGATGATTAAAGGGTGCAAGCTCAGGCAAAGGGAGTAACTCCTGCATAGCTCCTACATACCAGCCAAATGACAATACTATCTGCACATCCGCATCTCCTTGTCACAATCCTTAAGTTTTTACCAATGTCTTGAAGTGAACAGCCCATTCAGAGTACATAAAGACATCTGCTGTCATACTGATTAAATTCCAACTGTGTTACTGTTAACAGTACTGCAGTACTGTTACATGTAATACTTCTTATTATAAACCTAAGACCAAAGCCATACAATAAAAGGTGAAGCCCAGAAATTTCTAAGATCCCACAGGCTTCTCACAGCCTTATAGAATTTACAGATCACAAATCTGAAGCAGCTATCAATAAAAGTCAGCGCACTAGTAAGTATTAAGAATTTAACGTAACAAATTCATCTTAATTTTTCATTTGCTGCTTCACATGAGGTAAATGCCAATAATTTCTGAGCCTTCTGTGGTTAGGCAATGTCCTTATGCCACTCTACCTCATTCATGGCTGGCAATTAAGCAGCTTTTGCAACAGGCTCTGAAATTAGTCCTGTGAAATCTTCCACAGAAGAAGAAAGCTACTATACAGAAAGAGATAAAAAACAGGACTTCAAAGTCAGAGGGTGTGAAGAGTGAAGGAAATGTTTCTGGAGACATAAAATTACAAATCTTAAGAGTTCAAAATTGAAATGAATGTCAGTACCTGTTATAAAAAGAGCACTGCATCAAAGGACTCTGAGGACTTGTGGCTATATTTGCTAATTCTGTCAACCAGTTCACCCCATTCTCACAAGAATAAGCATTTTCTGAACTGCTGTTTGAGGTATGTTGGTTCCATGAAGGCCTTGAACATTCCTGATGTGAAACATCGGCACCAAGCTGAAAAAGTGCAGGTGGGGTAGAATCTGTCTGCACAGCCTGTAGTTCAGGAAGATCATCTACGAACAAATGCACAAATTACCATAATTATACCCCTTGATAAATTCTCATTGACACCAAATCTTGCAAATAAAAGTCAAAAAGGAAACACAATGAAGTAATTATTTTTATTTTCTCATATCACAATTACCAACATTTCACAAACCCTATTCATAATACTGACGAAATGGACACAGAATTAATCTCATCGCTAGTCTATTATACATTCATATGAGCAATTTAAGAAAAACATTACATAACTAGATAAAAATGTAGTTCTGGCTTTAAAGTTTTTACTAGACTGACTAGTTTACACAGAATTGTACTGCAGAATTATGCAAAAGTAGCAACATGCTTCATTAAAATACTAAAACATTCAACAAAAGGCAACTAAATTCATCTCTCCTAGCAGGTGACATTAAAAATTATCAATGTCAGGGGCTGTACAAGTTAAAAGTTTTCCATGTTTCCACCAGGGAACTGGAATTAAGTAACTCAGAAGTCATGAAAGCCAGGTACACAGCCTGGTAGGGGTGAATTCCTACCAATAATCTACATGTTTCATGTTGTATAGAATAGCAGAAGAGAGCCCAGCTTGTTAACAAAAGTCTGTAATACATGCCCTTGTGTAACCAAGTATCATTAATCACTCCATGACTTCAATTAGATGTGTTAATATTTCACTGATCATATCAGTGAAAACTTCCTAATGTACACGCTATTTTTCTCCAATATAGAAGAATGGAAGCCTTGCCCACAATCTCTATTTGCAGCTGATCTGAAGCAGCATGATTTCCCTTTAGGAGGAGCTCTTGAGCTTTTTTTTGTTATTCTTGTGCCAAAAAAAACCTCCTCTGGAGACTAGGAGCAGAAATTTGTAGCACTGACTTGAAGAACACATTTAAGTCAACAGGCCAGTGTGTCAGAACTGCAAATGGGTTACAGGGAAAAGTGACTGCAAAATTAGACTTTCAGATGTCACAATTCACTGTCGCATTCCCTGCCCGTCTTAAGTTAAAAATCAGTAATCTCATTCAGTCAGCTTCCAGTAATTTCACTATAGGAACAAACTTCAGAATGTAGCATCTTCTGAAAAAGTCCTATTATTTACCAAGTTCCATGTGTTCATCAGAGGATGCATATCCAGGAGAAGAGGGCAGGTTTTCATTACACTTCAGCAACTCCAGTGACTCATTCATCCCGGAAGTTCTCTTGTCCACTACCAGAAGGAGTTTCTGAACTGCATTAGGCATTTGATTTGTCTTCACTTCCCACACCATGTTAGGATGTTCCAAAGTATCTGACTTTAAAGAGACAGAGGTTAAAAATGTCTATACTCATAAACTGTTTTAAGTTGCATCTGACACAATACTTCATTACCAGAACCCTAAATCATCCACCATCTGTTGAGAATCACAGCACAGTTTAGCTTGAAAAGAACCGCTAGAGATGATCTGGTTCAATCCTTGCAGAAAGCAGAGCATACTCTGAAGTCAGACGAGGCTGTTCGGGGCTCCGGCCACTTCAGTTTCTAGTATCTTGAAGGATGGAGATTCCCTGCCACTTCCCAGGAACCTGTTTTAGCGACCACTCATGATGTAAAGAAGCTGTTCCTTACGCACAGTTTGAACTGGCCTTGCTACAACCTGTGCCCACTGCCGACAAAAGGGTGGGGTTATCTCCTCAACCACTGCTCAAGCCAAGGCAAATAACGTTCACTTGGTACCCTTAACCACGCACCCTGTCACAGAAGGCAACAGAACAGGTCATAGATCATAGAATCATAAAATGGTTTGGGTTCTATGATCATGGTTCGGCTTCTCTGATCAAGGTCAGCTACGACTTGCTTTTGGTCAAGCTGCCCTGGCGATTCCCAGTCACCTCCTTGCCTTATAAGAGCCAGGACATGGCTGTCAGGAGGATCTACTCTACAACATTCCTCAAGGTTAAGGTTAAGCTGACCAGCCTGTAGTTTCCCCACATCCTCCTTGAAGCCAAGTGTGACATTTTCTTTCTTCCAGTTATTGGGAGCCACTAAATCCACTCCCTTTTGGAGACCAGCCTCACAGTGACAGGGGCCAGCTCCCCTGATGCATCCCACCCAGTCTCACCGACTTGTGGGTGGCGGGCTCACAGAACTGGCCTGCCCCCAACCTGCTCTTCCTCTACCACAGACAAAGAAGTACCTCGTTCTGCCAGCCACGTGTTGCTAGACCCAGACTTGGGGAACCTGGAAACAGGCCTTGCACATAAAGACCAAAGCAAAGATGTCGGCCTCAACCTGGGGTCTCCTGCACCATTTAACACCAAGCCCACTTTCTCCCTGGTCGCCCTTTCACCACGGGCGCATCCACAGAAGCCTTTTTCAGTGCCCCTCACATCCCTTGCTATCTCAACTCTAGGTAGAGTCGCAAACACATTTGACTGCTAACATCCTTAACTGTGCTGTAAGCAGAAATAAAAGGAAGCCTCTACTCGATCTCACTGCAGTTTCATTTCCCCAAATCAAACATTTATACCAAAAGAAATATTTTAAATCATCTTCAGCAGTCAAAGAACTGCGTGATTATTCTACACAACCACTGCCTCTGAAAGCTGGAAAACAAGGTTATCCAGTCTTTAGTAATTTGGTTATCTACTGTTTTTTTTTCAGATGATGATGAATTAAAGCTACCGTAACATCATTACCTTGTACTTTAATGAAGCGTCATTGAAAAAGTAATAATGAGTGCCTTACAAAAGCACAGAAAATACAGCTTAGTAAGAAAAAAAAACCCTGAAAAGTCTACCACATGCATGTCCACTAAGTAAGCTACCACACACCACATCAGAGAAACATAATCACTAAAAACACTCTAATACTTTCACATGAAACAGAAAGCCTATCATCCTAAAAGTTCCCTTACTGTAAGGCACAGAAAGCCATCTGATAACAATTATAGAAGTTTTAACAAAGTTAAAAGGTATTGTGCGTACACAGACAACATTAACAATATTCCATGTTTCTACTCATTCTAAAAATTTGTTTCAGTCATTTAGCAGCTTGCCCTGTACATAACACGGTTCAGATATAACCCTTTGAATTACATACTAGCCCTACCAGAAAAAACCTGACCTAAACAGTAAAGTTTTGGGTTTTTTTTAACTGGTAAATTTCTAACCTTCTCATCTCCTTACCTTTCAAATATATGCAAAACTTACCTAAACTTGCATTTCAAACATAAAAAGGATGTTTGATTCTACTCAAATGGCACTAGTACAAAAGCCACAACAGTGTAATTCTGATTTTAAGGAGGTGGAGAGAGAAGGTAAGAGAAATGAGAATATACAATCAAAGGAACAATTAATGGCATGTGTTTTTCACCTCTAAGAAGCATCTTTAATGTAAATTATTTCTCTGTCACCCATGAGATACAGTAAAATTACAGAACACCAGAAGAGCAGAAAGCTTACTCATTTCTGAACAAAAAAAAAAATCAGACGTCAGTAGTACAGGTCAGGACCTTGGTTATTATCTCCAAGTAATCAACTCTGAAAAGCCACTCCTTTTCTTTCTAGCTTGCCTACGTCCTTTCTTGTCCTTTCTTTCCTCCCTTCTGCCTTGTTTTTACCTCTATTTTTTCTCTCTTCCTTTCCCATTTTCCTGCCAAAATTAATGAGCTAATTTATTTTGGGAATGTTACCTTCTCCCTCCTTCCTGCCAGCTGCCAAGATTTGAAAGTACCTGTCCTGGTATCCAAACACACTGAAGGTCAGAGATAAGGTACAGATACAACACACTAGTCCGACAAGATATTTGAGGAAAAAAAAAAAAAAGTTCTTCCAAGTCACAAACTTCTCTAAACCAAAGCCACTCATGTACAGAAGCAAAAAAAAAAAAAAAAAAAAATCCTTTAACAAACAAATTAAAAACAAAAAAATGTGCCCAACTTTAAATTTCAGTTTTTCTCTTCTACTTGATTAAAGCCTGCTTTTGACATCATGTGCTTCTCTTGCCCTCAGCCTTTCAATGTTTTCGAACATTAAGGGAATGGCCATTAATTAGCTTGTAAAGATTTTTTTGTTAAATTCAACTTCACGTTCAAAACTTCTTGCAACAGATGTTTTCTCAAAGTGTGTTTCACAGGACTATAATTACTGTAATTTTTAGCACAATTTATGAACTTGTGCTTTAAAATTAGTCAGCTTGTCACGCTAAAGCAAACGGCAATATTAACAAAGAGCTCATTAATTAAACCACGTCTATTTTTTGAGGGACAAAAATAAATTCAGGGACAAAAGTAAATAAAGCCAGTCGCTGAGACGGGGTTCGGCAGGAACTGGGCAGCACCGCCCCGGTGGATGTGCTACCTGTGGGTTTCCCTCTGGTGTTCGCCTGCCTTCCCCCACCCAGCCTCCTGCTCGAGTCTCGGGCAAGGTCTGCGCCTGCAGCAACCCACTGCACGGCGTGTAGCACGGAGAACAGCTTCTCCAAGCCAAACACACCACACTGGCAAGACTGGATCTCCACCAGGGACTTTTACTGGCGCAGCTGCTTTGATCCC